AGCAAAGGTTGAGAGCCACTGGTCTAGGAGTTTTTTAGAGGAGAAGGGAAATAATCATAGCCGAATAATCAGAGCAATGAAAACAGCTGAGCACAAAAACTATCACTGAGAATTTAACATTTTCCTCTAAAGCTTGACTTCCTCCATCGCCAGGGCAACCAAGCCTCCTGCTTGCTCCAGCTCTGTGGCTGCCGGCCCACCATCTTGGTTGGGTTAATTTGCATACAGTCGCTCTGATTGTCTGGTGGGCGTGGCTTGGGGCGTAGCAAAGGCACCATCAATTTGCATGTTTCTCTTTTATTAGATTAGATACCTACTATCATTTTAAATTGCTGGTTTACTTTTAAAAAGGTAATAGAAATATGGAAGGCCTTCATATTTTAATAAGGGTTTTGACATATTATTATTTCGCCTAGTTGAATAAGATTATTAGCCATTTACATTATTTACTAAACCTCTGATTCAAATCTCAACAAGTCAAATAATACCTTTTAGTTTCAACTAAACAGGCCTCCTCACCATCCCGCCCCAAATTTAGAGACCTAGTAATCTCCAGGTGGTTGCCTAAATTTCCATACCTGAGACACAAACAATATTACTCTTGTAAAACAATAATTCAGAAAGGTACCAGCGTATAATCTAAGCCCTCCCCCTAAGACAAAGAATAAACTCCTATTTACAAGAATTTTTAAAAGGAAAAAACAGACTTTAAAGATATCTGTTCTATTAAATTAGTATTAATTATCTTTATCTTCAAGAATTAAGCTGTTCTGAAATATATATGATCCTATTAACCAATGTCACCCCAATCAATTTTTTTTAAGTTGTCATTTCCCTAAAAAAAGTCAGTTTGACATTTACAAAGGCACCTTTCAAATTATATTTAGCAGCCTGCAAGATTTAACCTTTTTTTACAATCAAGTTTTTTATATTCTGCAGCTTCTCTAATTTCACAATTAGAGTTGAGAATTTATATATAGACTAGAAGCCCGGTGCACAAAAATTTGTGCACTCGGGGGGAATGGGGGGTCCCTCAGCCAGGCCTGTGCCCTCTCGCAGTCTGGGACCCCTCGGGAGGTAACGCCCTGCTGGCTTAGGCCTGCTCCCGGGTGGCAGAGGGCAGGCCCAATTCCTAGGTGCAGCCCCTGTTCAGGCTCAGAGCAGGGCCGATTGGGGAGTTGGGGCGCCCTCCATGTCATGCACAGAGCAGGGCGCATCCCGAGGTTGCAATGCCACCCCCAGTCATGCTCAGGGTAGGGCCTATTGGGGGGTTGGGGCACCACCCCCTGTCACACTCAAGGCAGGGTCGATGGGGAGGTTG